GTCCTTAAATAGGAGACTGATTAAATCAACTATGATACATCATACAATGGGATACCAGGCGGCCATTGTTTAAAAAGGCACAGATGTCTGTGTACCGAAACGGGGAGATACTTGAGGTACGTGAAGTAAAAATAGCAAGTTTAGAGCAGAATTGTATGAGTTTGATTCTATTGTGTTATATATCTACATATATATATCTATATAGCATCTATATCTACATTTGTATCTATATTCCTATGTATATCTATATCTACATCTACATCTGTATCTATATCTACATCTGCAAGATAAACATTTCCACAGAGAGAGGTAATGGCTGGGGAGATAAAGTGGAGAGGAAGGATTTTATTTTTCATTTTACTCCCATCTGTGTTGTCTGAGCATTGTTTTATTATGGTTTTATTATGTGCAAGTATTACTAGTACCTTTATTATTTTAAAATGTAACATTTATTTATTTATTTTTATTTATTTTTTTTGCTGAGGAAGATTTGCCCTGAGCTAACATCTGTTGCCAATCTTTCTCTTTATGTATGTGAGCTGCTGCCACAGCATGGCCACCAACAGACAAGGGGTGTAAGTCCGTGCCCGGGAACTGAACCCAGTCCGCTGAAGTGGAGCACGCTGAACTTAACCACTAGGCCACAAGGGCTGGCCCAACATTTATTTTTATCAAAGTTGTATAGGCACATAATTTAAGGAGTCAACAAATTCCATGCAGCTTATAAAAACAGCAAGTGTGCATAAGCCTCCTCACTCCCTTCCATTCCCGAGAGGCAACAACTTTCAGCACGTTTAGCTATTTCTTTTGGCATTAACCTCATATTTCTAGATCACATGCACACACTGCTGTTGCTTGATTTTGTTGTCTTAGGTATATCTATTCACTTCCAATACTGAAATTGAGGATTTCGGTCTCTTACTCTCCCATATTTTCCATCTTACTCAACTTCTCAGCGTTTGATATTCTCCCTTTCATGAAACGGGTCTGCACTTGGCTTCCGGGACACCATTCTCTCTCTTGGCTCCTCTCCTGCCTCCCTAGCAGCTCCTTCTCAGAGTCTTTGTTGGTTCCTCCTTGTCTTCCCACCTGTGCAGCCACAGCTCAGTCCTAGGAGCTCCTCCCTGTCTGCACTCACTTCCCAGAAAGTCTCATCCAGTCCCAGGACATTACGTACCAGCGATATGCTGATTACTCCCACATTTACATGTCCCGCCTTATCTCCCCCTGCGCTCCAGACTCAAGTCTCACTGCCTACTCATGCCTCCGTCTGTTTGTCTGATAGCATCTCAAATTTAAGATGTCCTGAACAGAACTCTGGACTCCCTCCCAGACCCGTTCCTCCCCCATTTTCCCTCTCGGTAAATGGGAACTCCATCCTTCAAGCTGCTCAGGCCAAAAGCCTTAGAATCATCTTTGGTTCTTCTCTCTTTCTCACCCCCCACATCCGATCACCTGCAGATCCTGTCTGCTCCGTCTTCCAAATATCACCAGCATCTGGACACATCTCACCCGCCATTGCCGTCGCCTTGTTCAAGCCACGTTGTCTCCCACCAATCTCCCTGCTTTTGACGCTGCTCATCTGGATAGTCTTGTTACCAAACCAAAAGTGGGTTCACCTCCTGGGGAGTTAAAATCAGACTATCGACCAGAAGTAGTTGTCACACAAAATAGAACCTATTTGCAGCAAATAGGAGGCCACGTGGAATCATTTCCAAAGTCGTGGCTGTCCCCAAACAAAGGGAAGCAAGGACTTGTTATTTTGGATGGGGAATGAATACTCAAAAGGGAGAGGTGTCTATTCCCTTGCACAGGCTCAGCTGGAAAACATGCTTCCACATACACTGCAGGTTATGTAATAAGGCCTCAGCTCCTCCCAGAGTGGAGATCTTAGCATTAAAGATGAGGCAAAGGGCATAGGTGTTGCTCTTGCGCTGAGGCTTGGTCCGGATCAGGGTGGCTGGTGATTGCATCTCTTAAACAGTTAAAGGCTTCTGAACCCACCCTTGAGTTCCTGTGGGCAATTAGTCGGTGACAGTCTTACTCTCCACTGACAGCCAGAGTGACACTTTTACCATGTAGATCAGATCACGGCACTCCTCTGCAGGGAGCCCTCACTAGCTCCCATGGCACTCAGAGTGCAAGTTCTTTCCTTGGCTTTCAAAGCCACACAGGACTGGCCTCCACTGCTGTTCTGACCTCACCTCCTGCCACCTTCAGCCTCTTCATCTGCTTCAGCCACACTTGTCCCACCTTACAGCCTTGCCCTTCCTGTTCCCTCTTGACTGGAATATTCTTCCCCAGACCTCTCCCCCACTTCTTACAGATCTGTGCCTAGGCTGGATTTTTCTGCTGGCTTCTCTAGATCCATCCCCCAACTCTTCTCTACCCTGCTTTGTGCCTTTGGAGGCTGGTCTTGGTGGACTCTATCCATGGGCTCTCTTGCTGGCTGGTTCCTATTCAGTGGCCAATGGGAGTACCAGCAGGAGACAGAGGGAGAGGGGAGGGTAGGTCAGGGCATAGCCCTTGGCCCCCTCCCTGACAGGTATTGTATTAGTCAGGGTTCTCCAGAGAAATAGAACCAAGAGGATACACAGAGATCTAGAAAGAGTTTTATTATGAGGGATTGGCTCACACAATTATGATGGCTGAGAAGTCCCACAATCTGCTGCCTGTAAGCTAGAGGCCCAGGAAACCCCATGGTGTAGTTCCAGTCCAAACCTGACGGCCAGAGAACCAGGGAGGTCAATGGTGTAAGTCTCAGTCCGGTTCTGAAGGCCCGAGGACCAGGAGCTTCAACTTCCAAAGACAGGAGAAGACTGATGTCCCAGCTCAAGCAGAGAGCAAATTTGCCCTTCCTCCACCTTTTTGTTCTG